GCGGACCGGCGGGGCCGCTGGCGACTCCTGGGCTCTGGACAGGCTCTGCAGCTCTGCCGCGCGCAAGGTGACCGCCGCCTCGGTTCTGGCCAGCTCCGTGTGGGAAACCGGGAGGGAGCTTCCCGAGGGTTTGGAGGCGGGAAGGACTTCCTAGGACTGACGGCCTGTCCACGCGGGTGGCGCGAAGGAGGCGGAGCTGGCCGCGCGCGCTGCTGCGGTGTCTCAGCTCCCGGCCTCTCGCCGGTGACCTTGGACCAGTCACTTCCCATGTTGCCGCCTTGGTGATGCCCGTAGCTCAGTTTATGGGAGGCGGTGAGCTAGACACTTGGCATCTCTTACTTTCCTCCTAAAATCCTCCCGAGGAAGCTCAGGCAGGGGTTCTCAACCTGTGGGTCGCGACCCCTTTGGCGGTCGAACGACCCTTTCACAGGGGTCCCCTAAGACCATCCTGCATATCAGATATTTACATTACGATTCATCACAGCAGCAACATTACAGTTATGAAGTAGCAACGAAAATAATTTTATGGTTGGGTCACAACACGAGGAGCTGTATTTAAAGGGCCAGAAGGTTGAGAACCACTGCTCTAGGGTGCCCTCAGTTTCCTTGACATGCATTAGCCCTGCGACCTGGGCGAGCCCCTCGACCCTCCTGTGAATGCTGCTGCACTGACGACATGAGACACGAATAAAAAACACGGAATGCCCGTTTGTGAGGATCGCGGCAGGGAAGGCAGAGAATTTGTAGTCCGATGCCTAGAATGGAAGCAGTGCGAGGCATGCCTTGCTTCGGCGGTGTCCTTGTGTTTTCCCGCAGCCGGAGCGAGCTGTGTCCACCGGGCTCTGTCCTGGTGGTTGGAGACAGTGGGCGCGGGGGCGGGGCGGGGATGGAAGAATCTGAAAAACGCCGCTGTCTGATAACCGTGGGGGAGAGAGTTCAGACGGGAAAGTGAAAAGATTGATTGCAAGTTGTGAGTAACTGGGGGGAAAAATAAGACTTAAACTTAGCCAGTTTTCCCCATTTCTAAAATGACTGTGGAATTTAAGAATTTGTGCCGCAGTTGAAAGTCCTTAAATTTGGCGAGGGAGGGGCATCCTGGCAAATCTAAACAGTCAAAAGGTTACTTCTGTTTAGCCCACGCTTGTGGAACAGTTTACACCAACCTAAGAACAATGAGGAAAAAGAAGGCATTTAATGTTCAGTTTAAAAACTAAACGAGGATTTGTTTGCCTTATCAGCACAAGACTGGCCAACAATGGAGACAAAATTAATATTAAACTTACCGGTGTGTCTCTTGAACGGCGGGGAAGGGATCATACAGGCAAACAGATCCGGTGTAGTGTTGTTTTTTTTATATATATCCCTTGACCAGAATCGAACCTGGGACCCTTCAGTCTGCAGACCGACGCTCTATCCACTGAGCCAAACCGGTTAGGGCAAGGTGTAGTTTTTTTTTTTTTTGCAGAATTTCTTTCAGGCGTAGTTGCACCGTTATTCTCTTTCTTGGAGCATTCATAACAAGGAAACTTAAAGCTCATAAGAACGTTGTATTTCATTGTAATTTCATGGCACTTTTGGGAGAGCTGATTATAAAATAAACGGACATATTTTACTTGGATACCAATTTGTTCAGCAGTTTGTAATGAGTCCTGGTAAAAATTTAAGAAGATGTGTGAACTAAAAGTCGGGAGTTGTATTTTAAAATATTTTTGAGTTTTAAGATAATAAATACAATAAATAGGAGTTCTTTTTGCTGATGTGACCTTTCTCCCTCTTCAAGGAAGTTGCTGAGTAACAAAATTGTATCTAAATTAAACTTTTGAAGATTCTATTAGGAGCACAGATTTTTAAATAGACCTAATTGGTAATTAAATGTATGATGCAGGCAAAGGATTTCATTTTTATCCCACCGCCCCCCCCCAGCTTTTCTACAATTTTTTTTTTGGCCTCAAAGAAGTTTGTTAGACTCTGTGTTCTTAGGCAGTTCATAAGTTCTAGATGTCTTGTGTTCTCCACCTATGAAAATAAATCCAGTTTCTCCTCTACCCTCTAAGTCAATGGTTCTCAACCTTGGCTGCACATTAGAATCACCTGGGAATCTTTTCAAAATCCTGATTTCTGGGCCTCATCCTCCGGAAATTCTGTTTCTTTGTTACTAATGTTGCGGCTCCACCCCATAACAAAGAAACAGAATTTTCGGAGGATGAGGCCCAGAAATCAGGATTTTAAAAAGATTCCCAGGTGATTCTAATGTGCAGCCAAGGTTGAGAACCACTGCTCTAAGTGGTGGAAATACTATTAAGAACTTTTATTTAGTTGCATAGTCACCTTTGACAGTAAAACATGTTTAATAAGTCACTATAATTCATTGCTTATGAGTTTAACCATATGTGACTTTATTAGGGGAATAAAAAATATAAATAATATAGATGCAATAAATGAAATTTTTCAAAGACGAATATTAACAGAATATTATTTGAATCACTATATGTTTCATATTGTATGAAATTTACACTCAAAAATCTAATATTTCTCCCTCCTTTCCAGGAAAAAGTTGACATGTCTAGATTCCCTGTTGAAAATATTAGAAATTTCAGTATCATTGCACATGTGGATCATGGCAAAAGTACTTTAGCTGACAGGCTCCTGGAATTAACAGGTATTTTCATTTCATATTATATAGTTAATTGATGGCAATGAATAATTGGTCATTGCTTTTACCATGCTTTTTAAATTTTGTTTTAATTTTATATACTGTATTGTTTCTTTTTAAGAGTCCATATAAGATTATGAATTTCTATTTATAGGGACAATTGATAAAACAAAGAATAATAAGCAAGTTCTTGATAAATTGCAAGTGGAACGAGAAAGAGGAATCACCGTTAAAGCACAGACAGCATCTCTTTTCTATAATTGTGAAGGAAAACAGTATCTGTTAAATCTCATCGACACACCAGTAAGTTTAATATTAATTTTGTTTCCGTTGTTAGTGAGTCTTGTATTAATAATGCAAACAAATCCTTGTTTAGTTTTTAAATTGAACATTAAACACCTAACTTTGTTTTTTGTTTTCTCATTGTTCGTAGGTTAGTATAAATTGTTTCACAAGCGTGGGCTAAACTGAAGTAACCTTTTGTTTACTGCGGAGTCATTAGATTTGCCATAATGCCCCTCCCCCTAAAAAATTATGGCTAACAGTTAGAGGTATCAATATCTTTTGTTTCTCAGGGCCATGTTGATTTTAGTTATGAAGTATCCAGGTCACTGTCTGCTTGCCAGGGTGTTTTACTGGTGGTTGATGCAAATGAGGTAGGTACCTTTAATTTTATATCGTGACATACTGTATGGTTGTTTCAAGATGTTTTCCTTAAAATGGGTTTTGGAAATACAATTTTTGTGTTTGAAAAAATAAGATTTATCGTTTTACTTAACCAAAATCATATGTTTTGGTCCTATTAATTTGAAGTTTATTACATTAAAGTATTTTTTTGAAATTCATTTGCTCATCTTTTAACATTTTTAAGCCGATCAGAGAAATTGTCTAATTATAGTTTTTGTTGAAATAAGTCAGTTACATCCTACCAAAAAAAAAAACCCCTCAATTTTTAACAGCTCTTAATCTGAGTGTTCCATATCAGTTTTTAGCAGATGTTGAAAATTAATCTTTACTTTTGAGGTCATTTTGGGTGACTTTAAGGTAATAATATGAGAAGTGTTAAGTTTAAAGAAACATACTAAAACATTACCAACTTCTTTTGTGTTATAAACATACCACATGAATATAGTAACTAAATGATCATATAGGAATTATAATATGCTATGTAAAATAAGCTTTTGCTATACTCAGTTTCTCACAAACTTTTCATTCAAAATCCAGAGGAAAGTCAATCTCTACCTTATATACAAACTGCTGGTCTTTATAAACTGTATCACGCAGCTGCCCTATAGAATAAAAGCCTAATATGCTAAGCGTCAGGTCATCCAGTCAACCAATCAAAGCATGATATGCTAATGATATGCTAAGGCTGCTCAGCTGCTCGCTCTGACGGGCACTGACCACCAGGGGACAAACAGTCGACTGGTCGACCAGCCGCTATCACGTGCACTGACCACTAGGAGGCAGACAGTCAACCTGTTGACCAGTCACTGTGATGTGCAAGGACCACCAGGGGGCAGATGCTCTGACTGGTAGGTCCTTATATACAAACTACTGGACTTTATAAACTATATCACGCAGCTGCCCCATAGAATAAAAGCCTAATATGCTAAGCGTCTGGTCATCCAGTCAACCAATCAAAGCATGATATGCTAATGATATGCTAAGGCTGCTCAGCTGCTCACTCTGACGGGCACTGACCACCAGGGGACAAACAGTCGACTGGTTGACCAGCCACTATCATGTGCACTGACCACTAGGAGACAGACAGTCAACCTGTTGACCAATCACTGTGATGTGCAAGGACCACCAGGGAGCAGATGCTCTGACTGGTAGGTTAGCTTGCTGCTGGGGTCCGGCCGATCAGGACTGAGCGACATGAGACGAGCCGGGCACGCCCTGGAGCCTTCCCACAGTCTCTACCTGGCTGGCCAACCTCCTGCATCCCTCCCTGGCCCCCATTGTGCACTGGTGGGGTGCCTTGGCCTGGCCTGCATGCTCTCGCAATCCAGGACCCCTCGGGGGATGTTGGAGAGCAGGTTTTGGCCTGGACCCAACTGGTGCATGAGGCCTCTAGTATCTATAGTAGGCTTTGATGACTGAGGGTCTATGTTTCACCTTTGTGTCGCCAAGCCTAAAATAGTCCCCTTTAATAAATGCTTCCTGAAGTGAAAGGAATTTCACAGAGAATATCCAGATGCGTGGAAGTATAGGTACCATATTTTGTCTTATCCCTCTGCTTTTGGTGAAGATGTGGAATGGTCTTGAATTATAAGTTTGTGATAGATGCTAGAAATCCTATGTCTTGATTTTTCCAGGGTATTCAAGCCCAAACTGTAGCAAATTTCTTTCTTGCCTTTGAAGCACAACTATTGGTAATTCCAGTTATAAACAAGGTAATTACAGTGACACAAAATCTTATTTATTTCTTTACTTTGTAAACCATGCTTATTAAATTTGTATTGCCTGTGCCTAGATTATTTTAATACTTTTGAAAGAAAAATCATAGTGGGGTCAGTTATGCTTTTAACTATCTCATAATGCTATTTAGTATGAAATACACTTTATTTGTATTAAATTAAGACATAATGAATTCTTTTTTTTTTTAAAGATAGATTTGAAGAATGCTGATCCTGAAAGGGTTGTAAAACAAATTGAAAAGGTGTTTGATATTCCAAGTGATGAATGCATTAAGGTAAAATACCTTTATTTCAAGACTTGGTTATAATTTTGAAAATCTGAGATAATTGGTCTAAGTGAAATTTTAGAGTTTTTGATAGCCCATCATTATATCATGTTTTTATAGTTTTACCAAGTTCTTTTTACTAATATTTCATTTGATCCTTACCAAAAATTCTTATTACATGGTTAGGACAGATGGGAATTCGTGTGATACAGAAGGAAGAACTGGCTCAAAGATTTTAATCACTTTCTTAAGATTACAGATCTAGTTACCTAATATATGCCCATTTTGCCTCTATGGAAATATTTTCTTTGAAGAGCATGTTCAAACTAATTTTAAGGCATTTGTATGTTTTCTTGAAATTGAGAAATAACTTTTTTCTCTATATAAAAGAGCTAGCTATGATAATAATTGTAGGATAGATATTATTTATGTCAAAGTTAATACTATATTTTAAATTTGAATTTTTATTTATTTTTTTAATGTACTTTTATTGATTTCAGAGAGGAAGGGAGAGGGAGAAAGAGATAGAAACATAGATGATGAGAGAGATCATTTGTCAGCTGCCTCCTGCACGCCCCCTACTGGGGATCAAGCCCTTGACTGGAATCAAACCCAGGACCCTTCAGTCTCCAGGCCAACACTCTGTCCATTGAGCCAAACTGGCTAGGGCTAAATTTGAATTTTTAAATGTACTTTTCTAATGCTCTTTTGGGTGTTAAATAGCCACAGCCAAACTGCAGTGTTACATACTTTGTAGTAAGTATGTCAGTGCAACACTATAACATTTAGCTTCCACTTTTACTGAGTGGTAATGTGAATTTATGAGGATATGCATTCTGGGACTTCCAGGAAGTGTTAACTACATAGTAAGATTTGTGGTCATAAATTCACAAGAAACTAGCTAGACTATTTACTTCATTTTTCTCCAGTTATGTTAAGCTACTCTGTTTATAAGCATAGAAAAAGCATATAGTTGGATGCATTCGCAGTGGGGGTTTTACCATCTGCTTATGATAGAGAATAGAAGGTGGTTGAACAGTGATTGTAAGTAATAAAGCTTGGAGTCTCAGATGGGAAATGAGGGAGTGGAGGATTAATGGATAATTTTTAAAAGTAGTCCATCCAATGGATTAGAGGTTGTGATTTTGAAGGATTATTTAAACATACTAGAACCTAGAGAAGTGGTTCTCTTTAGGGTTTAGTTTTGCCCCCCAGGAAGCATTTGGCAATGTCTGAAGGCATTTTTTGTTGGGGGAAGTGGGGTTGCTGCTGGCATCATGTTGATAGATGAGATTTCATGGATGCTGTTAAAACATCCTACGATGCACAGTATATGCTCCCAAACAGATTTAGCCCAAAATGTCTTCATTGCTGAGTTGCAAAACTGATGTACAAGAAATTTGGAAGATAGGAGGTGGTATTCAGGAAATGGGTTTTGAAATCAAGATTTCAGAGACAGTCCAATTAGTGATAATGGTAAAGGTCATTCATGCACATGTATTTTGAGTCTTTGGCTTTTTCAGTGTGAGAACAATAGTAATAATATGCTTTATAAGTTACCTGCATGCCATCCACCTATAGTGTTTATTCTATCCACACAATAACCTTGAAACTTAGGCAAAATATGAATGATTATTCATCAGATGAAGAACTTGAAGCTCAAAGAAGTATGTATGGGTCAAAGTCCACAGCTCTTTCAACATCATAATCAGAATACTCTTGTAATTTAATCCAAGAGTCATAAAAACACCTAACTGTACTGGGAGGACATTTGTCAGTATCCTATCTAATAATAGACAAACATGGTACAGTGGGGTCTTGACTTACGAGTGTCCCGACTAGCGAGTTTTTTGAGATACGAGCCGTTTCTCGGCCGATTTTTTGCTTTGAGTTGTGAGCTAAAATTCGGGTTACGAGCCAGCTTCAGATACCCCACCGCTAGTTGGTGCAGCAAACGTCACAGTGAACACCACAACATCAGCCCAGCATCACGTGTCTTACTCGTTCACTTTTGATTTGACATACGAGTAATTTGAGTTACGAGCTCCATCACAGAACGAATTAAACTCGTAAGTCAAGGCCCCACTCTAATTGACCTTATATTCGCTACACCTCCCATTGGCTAATCAGCGAGATACGCAAATTAACCCAACCAAGATGGCGGCCGGCAGCCACGCAGCTGAAGCGAGCAGGAGGCTTGCTTGCTC